TTTTAAACAATGTACAAAATAATTCAAATACCTTTTAATTCTTTTTCATGGGAGGAATTTTCATTTCCATGCTTGGATATTCTTTTTCCCCTGAACTAAGATGTTCAATTGTGCGCTTTTTCGCATCTGTAATATTGACTGTCGTAGATGCCATTGATTTAAGAATCACATCTTGTTTCTCCACGAAAGACAAAATGGATAATTTTTGCATTGCATCCAATTTTTTTGTGAATAGCCTTTTTATTTGAATGTTAAATATCTTGCCGTTCAATTCATCTTCCACATTTTGGAGGGATAATGTTTCTTTCTGAAAAAATGGAAAAGAATGATTAATAATAACAAAATCATTAATATTTTATATAATATATATACAATAATAAGGAATAAAGCGAACAGACAAATCGAAAGAGGTCCGATATTTTTACCATAAAAGAAGATGTTCAACAAAATATCATTTGCAAATAAAAAAAAAGTGGATGAGGAAAGAAAAGTTAATCATAAAAAAGATATTAAATTTGTTTTTAAAGGAAAATGAATATCTCAATGTTTATGTATTTACATCTTAAATCAAATTCAATACTAAAGGTCTTTCAACTAATCAGAGCCACACATGCTGCAGTTCTAAAATGGTGACGCCTATTATGGTAGGTGCGCATGACAGCTTAGGCATAAAGTTCTCAGCCAATGGGTAAGTATGTGAGATATTAAAGAAAGTTAACTATAAATAGACAACAAAAAGTATAAGTTGGGTGATTCACGATATATTTGTTTATTGAAGGTAAGTTTCTATTCCCTTATCATTTACAACATTTTATGTAGGGTAGATATTTTTAGGATTACTACTTGCGATGTTATTATGTGCATTTAATTTAGATAGTAGTGAGTTAAAACATTTCAAGTAATATGTACCTTGACGAAGCAAATTTCATAAATTTCTTCTGAAGTGAGGCGCAACATTTTCTCTGCAATTTCATCTGAAACAATAGCTGTTGCAAAACCACTGTTGTCCTTAATAGTAACTTCAAATTGACATCTGGTTTGATAATTAATGAAAATATTTTAAAATAATGGTTAGTTAAGACATTTATTTGCTTGAACAAACAAAATAAATAATCTTAATTAGTTATTATTAATTTTGTAGAAGAGCAAATATACCTGGGAATAAGATGTGTGGATCGGTGACAATTTGTGCAGTATATTTCCCTTCGCACATTATATCTTGTGAACAATTGCTTACAATTTGAGCATGCTAACACACTAAAGCCTTGATCTTTACTTGCAAGGGACAATTCAGCCTCAACATTAAATACTTGTCCCTTTAAATTGAATATACCAAATATTATTTTTTATTGAGAAAAAAAAAAGAAGAATTAAAAAAAGAATGATATAGTTGTTGTTCTCACTGGAGGTTGTGCCTGGATGTTAGCCACAGATATAACTTCATCTTCAAATGGAATCAACATAATAGAGCCTATTGGAGTTGTACTTTTCATCTTGTAAGAAACAAGCTTTGTTTCAATTGTTTTGATCCTATAAACAAGTACAAATAGAAAAATTTATTCATATTAGTTCATCCAAAATAGAAGAAATAAAAGTGAAATTTTAAAACTTAGTGATTGTAAGATTAAAGATGTTTTTTATATCTCAAAATATTCTGAAAGTTGGATGCATTAAATAAAAATATATATTACCACGTCCTTAACTCAGCAGCCTGTGGATATGGAGGATTGATTTGAATTGTTGTATTGAATTTACTCGTCAACCCAACGAATCTATTCGACGTTCCTATGAGCATTTGAATATGTCATTTTTAGTTTCATCATGTCATCTATATTTCAATAAAGGAAAAAATAAATGTATTTGCACTTTTACCTGAGGATGATTTCCCAATTTTCCTAGCAAGAATGATTGGGTAATCATGAAGTTGGTTGAAAAGTTTAAGTCCCTCATGATCAATAAAATCCTCCCAAAGTGTCAGTTTTGTTGGTTTTTTCCTGCATATGTTTTGAAGGATGTTTGAAAACATTAAAGTTGCAGAAGATATGTGATATTGTAAAAACATTATAAATAATAAAATTGAAATCAGATTATATTATCAATAAATACCAGCATTTTTGTGCTATAAAAGTCAAAATATAAGATGAACGAACAAAGAAAAGCAAGTAAACACAGGAGTAACTAAAACATGGTATAAAGTAGGCAGATCTGCAACTTTCACATATCCACATTCATCCCATAATATGTTTGCCATTTCACTCAGCAATTAAAATCTTTCAAGACATTGAACAGGCTTACTTCAGTCATGAATTAGCAGAACTCAAATGGCAGGTCAAGGGAAATAGCAAAAAGGTAAAAGTGCAAATAGTAGATTCATGGCACAGACAAATATATATGTTGACACGTTAGGTTAACACCTTACACCCTATGATGATTCCCCAACCTAGCTGTCTCTTCAGTAGATAAGGTTTTAACGAAAAAGAGCTTGTTGTTGTTTCTGGATGGCCACTTTAACCTGTGCAACAAAATAAAATAAAAACTTTCCTTTCTTGTTGAAATATGTTGCACTTATGTATTGAGGAGGCCTTTTTTTAATGAACTTCCAACAATATAGAAGTCACATAAACTGGAGGTTACAAAGTTGAAACTTAATTTTTAGCATGCATAGACATAGATAGACAGCTGCTAGGGACCAATCACAACGTAATAATCTAGGTAAAGCAAACATTGTGGCATATAAAATTGGTATCCACGAAAAAGGAAAATTTCTATTTATAGAGGAAAACACTATGACAGCAAATACTCGAATAACAGACAATTTCAGTCTGTAAGTTCTGTGATTAGCAGTCCAAAAACTACAATTAAACTCTGAAAAAGTAGTAACCATTTGGAGAAGACGACTACAAAGGCAATGTTATTGAAACTCGAAAGAATTAATCACTTTATTAAATACAAGTATATATTTCAACTACGAAAATGAAAAAGGAAAAAAAAACAGTATCAACCAAAAAGAGCCTTTTTTTTTTAAAACAAGTAATAAGATATAAAGATAAATGACAAGAGTGATATTCTTTATATACTTACAGCTTGTCCATGATAATAAACTCTTGAATTCGTTTTCCAGTTGTAGTCCTTGTTGAAGGACTGCCATTAATGACAATGGCGAGTACATCTTGCATTAAATAAAAAGAAAGAAAGAATAATTAGATCATGAGAAATATTATATTATAGTAACAATGGATTTTATGTGAATAAGAAGAATAATTAAATAATAAATTTATAATTACCAAATTCAAATTCTTTGGGTTGATACTCAAAAGTGTCAAATGTGGTAAGAGCTAGTCGTCTTGGTGGTGGTAATGGATCCTCTGGAGGTTTGACCTCTTCAACTGGTTCAACAATGGTGTTTTTATCAAGTGTCCAAATGAATTTGTTAAGTGAATTTTCATATCCAAGAGGTGGTACTTTCACATGTGCAACAGATACCAAGTAAGTGTTGAAAGGAGCAAATTCTCTTTCAAAATATGTTATATCAGTACTGTAAATAGTGGCCTGAACTTGATTCTCCTGTAAAAGAATTTGTAAAAAGTTTGATTAGTTGTGTAAAATTTAAAAGTTATTTTATTATTTTTCATATTATTAAAGTAAAAATATAAAATAATGCATTATTTAGTTAACTGAAGTAAAGTTACGATTTTAAAATCAATAATAAATTAATAAAAATAAATACCTCTTCATCTTGCAGAATTAACACTTGGTATTTTGTAGTTTTATCTTTGTTGTCCCTTGGTCGACTTTTATCAACAACTTGGACCTTACAGGTCCAATCTTTAGTATCAGGAGTGATCATTTTGATGGTATATCTTTCAGCCATGTTGAACTATCTGCAATTAAAATACATTATAAGAGGATAAGTTAAAGGTAAATGCATAATGAAAACAATATTATAATAATAATATAGATAAATATAAGTAATTTGTATATGAGATGTACCATTGTAAATTGAAGCACAAAGTTCAAGAAAATGCCTTTTCAATAATTTCATTGTAGACAACATTATATGTGGAATGATAATCATTTTCGTCAATTATAGGTGGTCTAATTAATACTTTGACATTGTGAGAACTTGTCGCTCTTGATAAAGCAACATATAATTGTCCATGAGAGAAGACAGGTTCGCGTAAATATATACCAACAAAATCTAATGTATGTCCTTGAGCTTTATTTATAGTCGCGTAAATATGTTATCTTATGCTTCTACTGACAGATATTCAATGTTTGTATGACACGCATGCAAGAAGTAAGAAATTAAGCACATCAACATCTCTCATAGAAAAACAAAAAGCCAACATCATAGACTAACCAAGACGAAAATGCAAAATTTTAAGAGTTGACATCGAGAAAGACACGCCAACTCTTTCTTTAACATCCCCATTACTCAATTTTGCCATAGTTATATTTCTTTCTCTGTATTCTATAACCAATAGTCACCATGTCATTGGATTTCACAAATCACAGTTGCTGCCTGAAATAGTCTCACAGTCGTAATAAGAATAGATCAAAGACCAAATCTTTGGTATCTTCACTTTAGAAAATATGAAAAAAGAGTCACTTTAGAAGCCTAAGTGCACTACAAAGATAACTACTTTGAACCCTCCATACGATATTTAAACATACGAAAACAATATAAAACCCCATAATTGAATTGATTTTCATTTCCACAAAGACCGAGGAAGAGATCGTCTCCAATCAGCTTTTTATTGAGGAGTGAGTGGAGAAAATTGTTTCCCAGTAGGTCTCATAAAACAATGAGACAAGTCACAATCTTCTTCTCTTTTCCAAGCAGGCTCTCATACCTCCCTTGATTTTAAACATACATGTTCCAACTTTTTGAATTTTGCTAAGTTTATTATTGCAACTTCACCCTTCATCGCAGATGTTTCTGACCTTTAGATATAAATAAATTTCATAAAAGTATTTAGGATTAGTTGAATTTGCAGCTTAAAGGATGGATTAGAATATCACCTCTTTCATAATTAATTAATCCTATGAAATAATTACCCAAAGTGAAAATCTATGTTGCTCGCACTCTCCAAATATGTACTACTTTTGACAACATTTTCCTACCGAAGACGTCCCTTCATTTCTGTCGTGTTTCTTGTTATATATATAATATAATTTTAGTTTTTCTTGTCAAGGAGAAGGACCAAGGACTTTGCAATAATAATAAGAATATAAGAATCAATTTTAGACACAGCACTGGAGAAGCTCACAGCACTGGAGAAGCTCACAACAGATGAGAAATTAAAAGAACTAAAGTAAATAAATAAATAGCTTAAAATGGAACTTGGTCTAACCCAAAACCAATATAGAAACAATCCTTAGACAAATGCCAAGACTCAAATGAAAATCCAAAATTAGCCAAATAATTAGTCTCTTCTACTGACGGAAATATACTCGCTCTGCAATTCCCTAATTGATCTTAACATGTAAATTATCAGTACTGGAGCAGAATGAATGTTAAGGATTAGGATTCATACATCCCCACAAAGTTAATCGAACAGATTTAAGCAAAAAATGTGAATAAAACATACCTGAAAACACCCAATGGTTTAATCCTTTAGTCTTGAAAATCTAAGAAATCTGATGCAAATGAGATATTTATTTATTTTCATTGAAAGAGTGGAGAATTATAGATGATTCTAGAGATTAAAATATTTCTATAAAAAAAGAAAAATACAACCTTCCTTTGACCAGGAGTGCACAGATATCAATATATGTATTTTTGATTTAATAATATCCGTTGTGCCACTGATATTTGCCCTTCTATGTTTGATTTATTTTCCGTTTTGCCACTGGTCGTTGGTTGGCTTCACTCTTCTATATAATAGAAATATGTGGGATATGGATTATTTTATTAAAATTTTAAAATTAGATTATTTTCAATTTTAGAAAGATGATATTCTTTTAAACAGATTAAAAGAAAAATATGTCACGAATTGAAAGAAAAATATTTCTTTCTGATAATTAGAATTTAGAGGAAGGTGTCCTTCCGAAACGGTAGAAAAATTGTTTTTTATAGGTAACGTACACAATCTCATTCTATTTTGTATTTCCATTGTCTTTTTATTTAGAAAAAATTACATAAATACACCTCTTATTTTATTATAATTTCTAAAATTCTCCCTATCATTTTTTAAAAAATCAAAAATTCCTTCTCGAATATATCATTTCCTCTTGCTGATACATCTCTATCCCCCTCTTGCATACATCCCTCCCCTATGTATCATGTTATCCTATCTCCTCTCGGATACATCCCTCCCCTATGAATCCAGATATGTATCCTGAAGTGAAGTGAAAGTTGTGCAAGAATATTCCACCTTGAAAATTGAAATGTAGAGTTTGAAAATGGGCTATGGTGTAAGAGAATCATTGGGCTCGGTCCAGATCTTATTTACAAACTATTGGGCTTATAAATGGAAGAGTCCAGATTGTATCTGTACAGGCCCAAACACAGTAAAAATTGCACAGATTCGAAAATGGGTTTGGTGTAATGTAAGAGAATCATTGGGCTCGGGCCAAGGTCTTACTTACGGAAATAGGTGACAAACTACTGGGCTTATAAATTCTAGAGTCCACATTCTATCTGTACAGGCCCAAATACAGTAAGCATTACACAGATAGCCCATTTCAGGATCCTTATTTAAGGTAGAGCAACTTTCACATATAACAAACACAAAAATCATATTTGTATGCTATAACTATAGTTTGCATAATTGCGCTCCATAGCAAACTTTATGTTTGCTATGGCTATTTCGCTATACATATATACAAAAGAAGCAATTGTATAATCTGTTTCGGTATACATAGACAAAAGAATCAATTGCATAATCTCTGTTTGTATAAAGTGAGAAAGAGAGAAAGGCAAAAGAGAGCTGGACAGGGGAATATTTGTATTGTATAATTATAAGTGTATAGGACGAAGATATATGTATTTACATGTGTAAATACAATTTTGTCTCGCTTTATACAAGCAAAAACGCGTTTTATACATCTCTGTTTGTATAAAGCGAGAGAGGCGAGGGAGAGACTGGCAAGCGAGATCTGGGAGAGGGGAACGAAAATATATGTATATATACAATTTTCTCTCGCTTTATACAAACACAAATACAGTTTATACATTTGCGTTTGTATAAAAGCGAGAGAGGCAAGGGAGATTGCCGAGAGTGGCGAGCAAGATTCACCAAGGAGAGAGGCGAAATAGCAGCAGTATGCTACGGGGTACAATTAAATCAAACTGTGGTTATGACATTTAATTTAAATTAATAGTTTGCTATTATATACAATTTTCCCTTTTAAGGTATAGCCAGAATTCATAGATTTTTGTGAAGTTATCAACTTGGACTTGCAAGTATGGAATTTGGGACTGCCACGTCAAACTTCAAACTCAAAAACATGTTAAGTAAAGAGTACGTAGTTTAGTTTATATATAGATTATTTATATATAAAAAAAAGAACGGCGGTATCGGTAGGGAAAGGGGAAATTGGAGGGGTTATAATTTACAAAATGAGAATTGAACCCTTATCAATAATGTGAAAATTCACATAGCAAATCAATTAAGTTACTAAAATTCTTTGTTTATATGTATAGTAAGTTTTCAACCTTACTAATGTTTTCAAATATAACTGTGATAATTGATTATTAGGCCGTACACAATATTGCGAAGTAATCCTATTATATTAGGGTTATAACTTGATAATATTTGTATTGTGTGGTAATTATCATATTGATGCCGTCATAGAGGTGTTGGGTAACAAACCTATCCCACATCGGATGGAGAAGAAGAAATGTACCAATATATATGTGCTCACCCAACTCCATTAGTATGAGGTCTTTTGGGATGTGCCCAAAAACAAATATGTGAGGGCTTGACCCAAAGCGGACAACATCATACTAATGTGGAGTTAGGGTGGTGGTACGCGCGGTCCCAACATGTGGTATCAGAGCCCAGGTTCGGGTGTGTCGGAGTAGTGGACTGCGTTTAGTGAGAAGTTCCCGATGTGACAACAAGACCAGAGATCTGCAGGGGTGCCTTGTGTTGAAAGTCTTCCTGGCAAAGTGGTGGTCCAGGCGGCGTGTCCCGTTATGTGATAATGGCGGTGCAAGATGATTTGGCAGATCAGATGGTGTGACCTAGCGATTGGAGATCTGCGGTTGATGCCTTGTGTCGAAAGTCTTCTTGACAAAGTGGTGGTCAAGCGGCGTGTCCCACTGGTCGGTAGTGGCGGTGCAAGATGGTTAGCACAGATCAAATGTATCATCGTTGAAGGGGAGGTTACGAATTGTGTGGTCTTGGTTTGAGGGGAGGATTGTTGGGTAACAAACTTATCCCACATCGGATGGAGAAGAAGAAATGTACCAATATATAAGTGCTCACCCAACTCCATTAGTATGAGGCCTTTTGGGATGTGCCCAAAAACAAATTCGTGAGGGCTTGACCCAAAGCGGACAATATCATACTAATGTGGAGTTAGGGTGGTGGTACGTGCGGTCCCAACAAGAGGTCCTATCATCAAACATATGTATGCAATCATGCATTGTCGCTAATCTAAATTATTTTCTATGTCTTAATATCATGTTTGATCTTGATTTTATTATTTAAATATTCTTATATGCAGAATTAAATCAACATCACATTTATAATTGGATGAGAAAAAATGGTTTTATGTTGTGAAAATAGCCAACAGACCATTTTCTTTGAGCCATGACCCCAACTTTCATGTTAATAATAATGGGTCCATACACTTGAACCAAATTCCCTTAATTTGTCCATTTCACTAATGACACCAAGTATAGTTACGAAATTCCATGAACTTGT